CTCTAGGTGGTCACAAAGCACCGAGCTATCTCCCTGTGCTATGCGGCTGCTTCCCACTAGCTAGCTATTTTACGTTTGGTAGTGTATATATGTCCATGCCGCTCTCTCACTTTGTCACAGCTTACCCTTCCCCCTCCCCATATCCTCAAGTCCATTCTCTAGTAGGTCTGTGTCTTTATTCCCATCTTACCCCTAGGTTCTTCATGACCTTTTTTTTTTTTTTCTTAGATTCCATATATATGTGTTAGCATACGGTATTTTTCTCTTTCTGACTTAACTTCACTCTGTATGACAGACTCTAGGTCCATCCACCTCACTACAAATAACTCAGTTTCGTTTCTTTTTATGGCTGAGTAATATTCCATTGTATATATGTGCCACATCTTCTTTATCCATTCATCTGTTGATGGACACTTAGGTTGCCTCCATGACCTGGCTATTGTAAATAGAGCTGCAATGAACATTTTGGTACATGACTCTTTTTGAATTATGGTTTTCTCAGGGTATATGTCCAGTAGTGGGATTGCTGGGTCGTATGGTAATTCCATTTTTAGTTTTTTAAGGAACCTCCATACTGTTCTCCATAGTGGCTGTATCAATTTGCATTCCCACCAACAGTGCAAGAGGGTTCCCTTTTCTCCACACCCTCTCCAGCATTTATTGTTTCTAGATTTTTTGTTGATGGCCATTCTGACCGGTGTGAGATGATACCTCATTGTAGTTTTGATTTGCATTTCTCTAATAATTAATGATGTTGAGCATTCTTTCATAACACCACAGTTTTAAATTGTCTTCGTACCCAGTAGGGTGAATCCTCCAGTTTTCGTGTTCTTCTTTAGGATTGCTTTGGTTCTTTTGATCTTTTACATTTCCATATGCATTTAAATATCATCTCTACAATTTAAAAAATATTTTAATATTAATATTTTAAACTGGGGGCAGGACAGAAGTTAATTAAATAGAATTAAGTAGCATTCAGTTTAATTCTACACTAAATAGAATTCAAAGCGTGTGGGGAGGGGGGGAGTGAAAAAATCCGTCCCCTTCCCTCCCCAGTCCCCCATTTTTTTCCCCATCCTCCCAGATATGTCTGAGCATGTACGAGCCCATACCCACTTTTTCCTTCACAAAGGATAGCATATTGTACACGTTGTTCTGTAGCTTGTTTTTTTCCTCTGAATATATCTTATAGAACTTATTTTAGTAGTTGCCTGGGATTCTTTGATGACATCAATAATCTTTTTAACCTGTTCCAAATTAGGCTGTTTCAGTCTTTGTTCCTGATACAAGAAATGCTGCCATGATCCTCCTGGACCTACATTTTTGTGTACAGGTGCATAGCCATTCGTAGGATGAGTTCTTAGAATCAGACTTAGCAACATCCCACTGTCCGTCTGCAATGCTGGGCTTCTGCAGAAGATTCTTTTTGAAGAAATCTGAAAACCTTGGATTAGAGGCTTCTTAAAACCCTTGGATCTGATGGTCTGGGGCTGCGGGTTGAGTGATAGATCATTGTTTTCTGACCTAGCGTTCTGTCCACAGGCCTCAGTCCCTGTTTCTGGCTCTATCAGCTCCCACCTGATCCTGAGGCCTCAAACCCAAATCCAGAACCCAGGTGCCTCAGTCTTGAATTTGAAGATCAGCTTGGCCTGGTGGAAGGAACAAGGGCTTTGGAGAGCACAGCAACTGGATTTTGAATCCCAGCTCTGCCCAATCTCCCCTTCCTACTGCCCTGCTTCAGCTGTGTGACCTTGGGCAAAACACCTGACCTCTCTGAACTTCGGTTTCCTCCTATGTACATCAAGAGGGCTGTATGAGCACCTTCCAGCTCTAACACTGGGTGTTTGTCTAGAGAATTCTTGATTTCTGATTCTCTAGCTTTGATACCCGGCCAGGCCCCCCCGTCTCTGTGTCTAGCTTCTCCCAGCTCCGATCTTGTTTAGTCTTGCATAGGGCTTAAGAGCAGAGCTTTGGACTCAGCCTGACTTGTCCATCTCAGCCACTCACTACTTCACTTCTCGGGACCTGTGTCCTCATCTCTCAAATAGAGGTAATAATACTGACCTCCTACGCTGACAGAATAGCTGTCACACAGCAAGCCCACAAGAAATGCTAGCTGCTGCTGCTATTATTAGTATTATCTCATTCCTATTCCTGGTTCCACAGTTTTGGATTTGAAAATGTGGTTTGGGAGAGAGAGAAAAGCACTGACTTCCCTCCATCCCATCTCCCCTCAGCTCTGAGACTTTGTTGGGGTCCTGGAATCTAGTCTATAGGTACCTTATAGTACCCATCACTGTATAACAAACTGCCCCAAAACCTGGAGGCTTCCAACAATAATGATTATTATTTCTCACAGTTCTGTGGGCCAACTAAGCAGTTCTGCTGAGCTCACCGTGGTTGCATTCAGCTGGTGTCTAGGCTGGGCTGTTGGCCGGCACATCTCGGTTCACTCATTCTCCCTCATCCTTCAGCAGGCTGGCCTGGGCTTCCTTTTTTTAAAAAAAAATATTTATTTATTTGGCTGCGTCGGGTCTTAGTTGTAGCACGCGGGATCTTTTGTTGTAGCGCATGGGCTCCAGAGTGCGCAGGCTCAGTAGTTGCAGTGCGTGGCCTTAGTTGCCCTGCGGCATGTGGGATCTTAGTTCCCTGCCCAGGGATCAAACCCACATCCCCTGCATTGGAAGGTGGATTCTTAACCACTGTCCTACCGGGGAAGTCCTTGGCCCGGGCTTCCTTACACTGGGGTCCCAAGAGATCTCTCTGAGGGCCCAGGCTCTGAAAGTCAGACAGCACTACTTCCAATGCATTCTGTTGTCCAAAGCAAGTCTTGAGGGCCGCTCAGACCCAAGGAGTGGAGAAATCCGCTCTCTTTTTTTTTTTTTTTTGTGGTAAGCGGGCCTCTCACTGTTGTGGCCTCTCCTGTTGCGGAGCACAGGCTCCAGATGCGCAGGCTCAGCGGCCATGGCTTACGGGCCCAGCTGCTCCGTGGCACGTGGGATCCTCCCGGACCGGGGCACGAACCCGTGTCCCCTGCATCGGCAGGCAGACTCTCAACCACTGCGCCACCAGGGAAGCCCCGCTCTATCTCTTGACGGGAGGAGCTGCAAAATACTGGGCTCCTACCTTGGAGCTCAGTAATTTTGTGCTGAATGAATGAGAGGTGGCAGAGGTCACTTGACCTCTGTGAGCCTCAGTTTCCACATGTGTAAAGTGAGTCTAAGGATACCTCCCGTGGAAGGTCACTGTGAGGAATTTTTTTTCTATTTTTATTGCGGTACACGAGCCTCTCACTGTTGTAGCCTCTCCCGTTGCGGAGCACAGTCTCCGGATGCTCAGGCTCAGCGGCCATGGCTCACGGGCCCAGCCGCTCCGTGGCATGTGGGATCTTCCCAGACCGGGGCACGAACCCATGTGCCCTGCATCAGCAGGCGGACTGTCAACCGCTGCGCCACCAGGGAAGCCCTTTTTTTTTTTTTTAATGGCCACGCCACACAGCTTGCAGGATCTTAGTTCCCCCACCAGGGACTGAACCTGCGCTCTCGGCAGTGAAAGCGTGGAGTCCTAACCCCTGGACCGCCAGGGAATTCCCACTGTGAGGAATTAAATTGATAAAATCCAGAGAACGCACACACACAGGGGCTGGAACTTCGCAGGTGTTCAGTCCACATGGTAACCATATGGGTATTATTGCCAAAGGTCTTCTTGCTGATTCCTAAGTCCTAACTCGTTTTATTCCTAAGTCCAAAGTGACACTGTACAAACAACCATTTAGACAATAGCTATGTAAGATAAGTATCCCTTTTGTTACCATCATCTTCATATGCCTCGTCTTACTAGCACTTGGAATATTCTCTCTGCTTTTGTCCTTATTTGGCACAAAAAGTGTCGGTAAAGTTTGCTCAAACCCCTCAGAAATAAGCATCGACATAGCAAAACAGCTGTAGGCCAGAGATTGCAAACTGTCAGGTGTTTGTTTAGCCTGCAAAGCATTAAAAAAAAAAAAAAATTGGTATTAGAATTTGAACTGTTGCTAACCTTTAAAATCAGGGGATTTTACAAAACATCCTGGGTTTCCAAATTCTCTTGACATTGGACCATCTGGCATCTCAGGCCTGCTTCCCTTGTGGCAGCATTGGGCTGGAGCTAAATCCTGGTGGGGCAGATCCTCTTTGATCCCTTGGTGGCTCATGAAGTCAGTTTAATGGGTTGTTATTGGTTGTGTAGAAAAATGAAGTAGAGCAGGATGGAAAATAGCAGGGTATTCTGCCATAGTCTTAAGGGAAAGGACTGCTTTGTGGAACTAAGTCTAGTTACATGTGTGCAACTGTGAGCACACAGACATATGTGTATGACTTGGATTACAAGTAAAATATATATATCTTACTGCGGGTTTTAGCCAAAAGTTTGAAAGTTTGGCAAGATCTCCATCCAGTCTGATTCATTCAAGTTACCTGCCTCCCTTGTAGCCATTTGAGCTTGAGATGAGGTTGTCTGGTGGAGATCAAACCAGTTTCCTGCGATCTGCTAGGGCCTGGCAGGGTCCCTGTGCTTTTTCCCTGGTTCTGAGTACTTGTTTTTGTTTTGATAGTTATTTTTAGTTTTAGTTTTTAAATTGAAGTATAGTTGATTTACAGTGTTGTTAGTTTCAGGTTATACATATATACGTATGTATATATACATATATTCTTTTTCAGATTCTTTTCTCTTATAGCTTATTACAAAATGTGAGTAGAGTTCCCTGCGCCATAGAGTAGGCCCTTGTTGGTTATCTATTTTATATACAGCAGTGTGTATATGTTAATCCCAGCCTCCTAATTTACATGCCCCCGCCACCGACTCTGAGCATTTGTAAGCAGGGGATGAGGGCAAGGACTCCGTCATCTCCACTCTGCGGGCAGGTTCCTGATCTGGCTGCAGCCTGGGCCCTGGGACCCACGACCCAGCCCCCAGATGCCCCAGTCTCTGACCCCCCCACCCCTTCTCTCCTGCTTCCCCAGGAGAACCCGTACGTCATGCGCCGGCCCAACTTCCAGGCCCTGTCGGGGAACGAACGCTTTGAGGGCTTCTGCGTGGACATGCTGCGGGAGCTGGCCGAGCTGCTGCGCTTCCGCTACCGCCTGCGGTTGGTGGAGGACGGGCTATACGGGGCGCCCGAGCCCAACGGCTCCTGGACGGGCATGGTCGGCGAGCTCATCAACCGGGTACGGCGGGGCCGGGGCTGAGGAAGGGGCCGTGGGTCGGGTGAGCAAGGGTGGGCAGGTGGGCAGGCGGGCAGCCAATGGTGCCTCAGAACCAGCCTGGTGCATACAAGGGGTGGGAGCCGACGGTGCGCTGTGTCCCTGTGGCTGGTGAGCACCACGGGGTGGGCACAGTGGGGAAGAAGGGCGATGCATCCCTTCCCGTGTTCCTCTTTCAAATGCTTCCCTCACGTCACCTTGGCTTAGTCGGTGCTCAAAGATGTGTTGAGTGAATGAAAGAGATGTGGAGTGGGAATTGAACAGATGTGGAGGAGATGGAGAAGGCTTCCTGTGAGAGGCAGGGAGAGGGCTAGGCGGCCGGGACGTGCGCTGTGCCCAGCACCTGCCAGGAGGTGGACGTGGAGGCTGCCTGTTGCGCTCACAAGGCCACGCATTCAGTAGGTGTTTATTGAGCACCTAGTGTGTGCCTTGCACCACGCTGGCGCGGGATATAGTGGTGAGCACAGGGGACCTGGACCCTGCTCCCAGCAACTTAGGGCTCCATTGAGATGCAGAAAAGCAAATGACCGCAAGACAGAGCCATTGGCTGATGGGGAAAACTCAGAGGAGGGACCCAGAGGCTCCTGACCCAGCCAGGCATCCAGGGAGGGCTTCCCAGAAGAGGTGATGCCCAAGCAGATTCCCAAAGAGTGTGAAGGAGTCAGCAGGGTGAAGGGGGGGTATGGGAGACGGGCAATGTGTTTGATGGCATTTACAAACAGCGGGGGGTGGGTTGGGAACATGAGTAAGAACGAGTTGGGTGTGGGGCGTATTAGAAGAGCAGCCGGGCCCTGAGTGTGGGCAGGATTTGAATGTAGGTGAGGAGGGCAAGAGGCAGTGGGGTGGGGGGTGGTAGGCAGGGGTGCAGTGGAAAAAATATTTTGGAGTCAGACCAACCTGGCTTTGAGTGCTGGGGTGAGTCATTTCTTTCCTCGGAACCTCAGTTTCCTCTCCCTAGGATGGGGATAATGATACCTGACAGGTCTGTAGTAAGGTTACAGACACGCTGCACACGTTCTTGTCATAGGTTGTTCTTTTTATTCCAGTCATGAGAAGCCATGTGGGCGAATGCCCAAAAAAGACAAACAGGCCCCCAGCTTAGGGGCACGTCCAGGGCAGGTGTGTGGAGCCGGGACCTGTGGCCACAAACGGTCAGGGTGGCCTTGACATTGGACTTGGCTGACAGCGTCAGAGACTCTCACCCTCCTGAGCCCCTGAATGTCACCAGGGGAGACTCAAAAAGGCCACTTTGCTTGACAAGGATGTTTATCCCCGTAAGGCACTGATTTTCGAAAGTTGTTTTGACTGCAGAGCCTTTCTTCCATTTGAAAGCGCCCTCAGGGCCCTGGACAAAGCAGAGCTGCTCTGGGGGTGACAGAGGTCGGGGGTGTCCCCCGGGTTCTGGTGGCTCGGTCTCTCTCACCCCACCCAGCTGGCAGGCCCGAGGCACTGCCCTACAGGCAGCCAGCTGGTTGAAAGCTTCTGCCCTGGGTGGGTTCAAGAGTCTGAAGCCAGGGCCTGAGGAGACAGGAGGCAGGAGCTGGTGGCCGGACGCCCACCTCACTGGCAGGCTTCCCTGTGACCTCATTGCCATAGCCTGGTCCCCAGTCTCGTAAGCTCAGAACTTTTGTTCATCAGGGCCCCCAGAAATAAGACTCCAGGAGAGCAGCCCTCCCCAGCCAAAGTCACCGTCAACTGGACATCTGTTTATTCATCAACAAAGAAGTCCTATTTACAGCTGTATGACCTTGGGCAAGAGTCTTAACTCCCTGTGCCTCGAGCCTTCCCTTAGGACTTAGTGTGAAGGTGCCTGGGGTAAGCATAGCAGGGCTGGGAGCTTTTCTCATTGGTTACTGCTCTTGTGGTCCTGCGTCCTGTTTGAGTCTCTGCTGAGCATTTGTTGTGTGACCTTGGGTGAGTTACATAACCTCCCTGTAAAACTGGGGAAATAACAAATGCTAGCACATAGGGCTGTTGTGAGCATGAAATGCGTTAATCCATGTACGGGCTTGGAACAAGGCCGGGCAGGTAGTGGGTGCTGTGTGCCTGTGCTATCGTTAGTGTTATTCCTGCCAGCACATACATACATTCATGCGTTCGTCCGTCCTCCAGCCAGCTAGTATTTATTGAGTGCCTACTGTATACCAGGCCCTGTGATACACCTTGGGGATTCAGTGGCCTGGCCTGGCCTTGCTCTTACGGTTAAAGACTTTGGCCTGCAGCCAGAGGTCCATGGGATGCACCCCCTGCACACAAAGGGCTGAGCTGGCTCAAATGAGGAAACAGAATCATCGGGGCTGCTCGATGGCCTGCGGGGAGGTCAGGGGAGGCTGGAGAGGGCCAGGACTTGGTGACCGCCTGTGGCGGGGGCGGAGGAGAGAGGACGTGAGCGTTCCTTCTGTTTCTGGCTTGGGCAGCTGGGCGATGGCGATGACATTTAGGGAGAGAACACTGGAGGAGGAGCAGGCTGAGAGTGCAAAGGATGGGCGGAGTTTGGCCTCTGCAAGGCTCAGCTGCCTGCTGTGGGATGGCCAAGTACACTGAGCTTCGCACAGATACTCAGCACTGTCCTCACAGCAGCAGCAGCTGACGTTCATGGACTTCACGCCACGCGCCAGGAACTTTGCAAGTGTTACTTAATTCTTCTAATAATCCTTCCTGGCCCAGAGGATCACTGCCCTCCTACCGATGTGAGATCAGGGGCTCAGTAGTGAACGGACTTGCCCCCAACACGCAGGGCTGCAGCCAGGTGTGACTGACCCAAGGCCTGTGTCCTTTCCAGACACCCAGCAGGTACTTGGGAAGCCTAGAGTGGTCAAGGTGGTGCTCACACCGTGCCAGGCCCTTGTCCGAACCGTATGAACTTGTGTTAACTCCTTGACTCCTCACAGGCACCCCCTGAGGAAGGCCTGGTGTTTGCCCAGTTTTCTCTAATGGACAGAGTAAGGCACCAAGATACTGTCCAGGCCACATGGCTAGTGACAGGCAGAGCCAGGGCTGGCACCCCAGCAGGCTGGCCCAGAGCTGACAAGTGAAGATGGAAGACAGATGGAAGACAGCCCAGGGCACCAGCATCCCCCCAGCCACCGCCCCCCCACCCCCCCCCCCCTCCCAGCCAGGCTCAGGGCTTGTAGGCCAGTCTCGAATTATGGTCCATTTATTCCACCCAGTGGCCACTGCTGGAATTACCTTTCTCCCTGCCATCACCGCTGTGCTGTGAATTCAGGCCCCGCCCCTCTCACCAGCCTCCTCCTGGGCCTCCTGGCCTCCTGTCTCTCTCCACTCCAGTTTGTCCTCCAGTAGGATCTCTGTACGAGGCAAGTCTGACCTATCACTCACAGGCTTTAGCTGTCACCCCCCGGGGCCCTCCGGTCTGGCCCTAAAGGACTAGGCAGATATCTTAGGTCGGGTTTCCAGGGAGCAGATTCCGAGGTGCAGATTAGCAGGCAGGTGTGTGCGGTGCCCTTGGAAAGCAGCGAGTGGAGGAGGAGGCCTGGGCAGAGGGAGGAGTTGAGCTGTGTTGCAGTCATGACTGGACCTCAGCCGTCCCACGGGCAGCTCTGGCGCTGGGATGGCCATCAAAGACATCCCCCTGGGCTTCCCTGGTGACGCAGTGGTTGAGAGTCCGCCTGCTGATGCAGGGGACGCGGGTTCGTGCCCTGGTCCAGGAAGATCCCACATGCCGCAGAGCGGCTGGGCCCGTGAGCCATGGCCACTGAGCCTGCGCGTCCGGAGCCTGTGCTCCGCAACGGGAGAGGCCACAGCAGTGAGAGGCCCGCGTACCGCAAAAAAAAAAAGACATCCCCCTGAGGTAAGGGGGAAGGCTTTTATGCCCCCCACCGACACGTCATTGGATGAGGGCTGTCCTCGGGGAGGGTCAGGACCTGGGGCAAAGGGGTTCTTCCACCTACAGAGCAATCAGCCACCAACACCTGGTACCATGAGTGCCTGATCCGGAAGGAGGGTCTGGGCGGCCACCACGGTGTCCACTACAGCTGTGGGCTGGTTAGATGCCAGACAGAGCCAGCTTCAGGTTGCCCGCTTTCCCGTGTGGTCCCTGGTGAGCCATTTCATCTCTCTGAACTAGCTTCCCCTCTTGAAGTGGGAATGATGTTCCCTCCCTCACAGAGTTTTGTGGAGAGTGGGTGAGGGGTAAGCTGGAGGTCCCACAACAGAGCCTGAGTTACCAGGGCCTTGCAGGTAAGGAGTTTGCGTGTTCTTGTTGTTTTCTTTTTGGCCGAGCCAAGTGGCTTGCAGGATCCTAGTTCCCCGACCTGGAATTGAAGCCGGGCCCCAGAATTGAAAGCACCGCATCCCAACCACTGGATGGCCAGGGAATCAACCCCCCCTTTTTTCCTCCTTTTTAAATTAATTAATTTATTTATTTTTGGCTGCGTTGGGTCTTCATTGTTGCGCGCAGGCTTTCTCTAGTTGCAGAGAGCGGGGGCTACTCTTCGCTGCGGTGCCTGGGCTTCTTACTGTGATGGCTTCTCTTGTTGCGGAGCACGGGCTCTAGGCGCGCGTGCTTCAGGAGTTGTGGCTCACGGGCTCTAGAGCGCAGGCTCAGTAGTTGTGGCACACGGGCTTAGTTGCTCCGCAGCATGTGGGATCTTCCTGGACCAGGGCTTGAACCTGTGTCCCCTGCATGGGCAGGCAGATTCTTAACCACTGTGCCACCAGGGAAGTCCCTTTTCTCCTTTTTGGATGTTGTTTTTATTGTGTTATGAAGTCACTGGAAGGTGCCATGATCTAACTTATTTATTCTTTTTTTTTTTTTTTTTTTTGCGGTACACGGGCCTCTCATTGTTGTGGCCTCTCCCATTGTGGAGCACAGGCTCCGGACGCGCAGGCTCAGCGACCATGGCTCACGGGCCCAGCCGCTCCGCGGCATGTGGGATCTTCCCGGACCGGGGCACGAACCCGCGTCCCCTGCATCGGCAGGCGGACTCTCAACCACTGCACCA